CACACACACACACACACACACACACACACACACACACACACACACACACACACACACACACACACACACACACACACACACACACACACACACACGTTATGTAAGCACCACCAAGTCACATGTGGTTGTTGGAATTCTGCCCAAGGACTGTTGGAAACCTGAGTGCCCCCGAGCAATTCACTTTAAGAGCAGCAGTACAACCTGTACAACCTAAAAAAACATGTTGTTAAAAGCCAGCTTGGAAAACGAAGGCTTATAATCGTGACTGCTGTGTTAAGCGGCATTTGTAAAAAAAATAAAATAGTTACATTTCTACTTCTATCTGATTCTGCAAACCACTGGGGAAAATAAAATGTACCGGGTTGCTCAACTTTGACCTTAAATCTGAGCAGGAGAGATATGAAAGAAATGATTAGTCGACTTTTTAGGCCCTTTAGACCTTGAGTCACTCGTTGTCGGCCTTGTCAGCAGTTCGGCATCTGACCAGCTGAAACAGTCCATGCAGAACTCAGGAAACACAAGACCTTGCCACAAGACCTCTCCTGTGTGAATACGCACGGGTTACCACAGGCCAGACCACGCTGTGAAGATGATCTCACATCCGTATTTTGAGAATAGGGATGTGAAAATAGTATTATAGGAATAGTAACAGTAGCAAGAAAGGCCTTAGCCATTAAAAGTCTGAGATTAACCCTGAAAATACAAAAGTATTCTACCTGCAAGTCCATCATAGAAGGTTTCAAGATCATCGATCTGGTACAGCGGTCCTTCGTTCCACCAGTTCATCTCAGGGATGGGTTTGCAGCGAGGGGCCTGGACTATGATCACTATGGCTCCAGCCAGCATGCCCAACCAGCCCAGCCAAAACAGGACGAGAAGCACGCAACGGGTTCGCACCCACCTAGACACAAAAAGAAAGAAAGAAAAAGTTACAATGACCCCTGTTTTTTTATGTCACATGTTTATAAAAAAGGTGTTTATAGCAACTCTTCTTACCCTGGGGTGCCAGCCACCTTCATCAGCTCCTCCTTGGACAGGCCGGTGAATGTAACCTCGTCTTCTGGGACCTTCAGCTTGACGCTGCCATTCTTCTCCCCTCCTGCGGCCTGGACCTCGCCTGTCATGGGCTGCTTCTCCGGGTCCAGCTCATTGAGCTCCACGTCCTTCATGTCGACCTCCGAGTCCTTATTCATGGTGGGATCAAGAGGATTTCTTTTTAGAGATGGGGAGGTGTGCAGCGGGGTGGATAACAGAAGGGGAGAAATATGTTAATAGTTTGATCTCTTTTCTTTCTGTCATTAGTGGTTATACGTTTGGTCACATAGTAGCTAGTTTCCAGTGGAACTAGACTGCACTGGAGAAGAGACTGAAGTCAAAGTCCCTTGAATTGTTAGTCTAACACCCGTTATGTACAGTGCCTCCTAGTTAAGACGTGAAAACAAATGCTACACTTACTAAATTAACTAGCTAGCCAATTCCTAAAGCAGAAATTAAATTGGTGTCGCTAATTAACACCTGCAACACAGCCGGTTATACTAACGTTAAGAACGACCGTCAGCAATAAGCTAACAGCGGCACATCAAAGGAAACCGTCACAATAAAACGGGATTACTACATTTATTAAGTTAGTGCTATAACTAGCTAATTTAAATAAATAAAAATGTTGCAATGTTTGACAGAAAAGGAGTTACGCATTTACTTTTTAAAATGCTACAGAGTTCTACATGACGCGTGTTTAGCCAAAACAGGCTCCAAAAACGATTGTGTATTTAATAACTTTAATATTCAAAATAAAGGGCACCTTCCTGTTTCAACACAAACAACAAGCGACGTTTCAAACGCGAGTGGACTCGTTTCTTTAAAAAAAGGTATCCGGTATGTTTTAGACCAAAGACTTTATACACGAGAAGGTTTTGTTCGGCTGAGAGTCTCCAGTTAACAGGGTCACTGGATAAGCCGAAACACCGGAAGTATAGTTGGCCGCCGTTTAGTTCCAGAAACGTGAATGTTTCAATATTTGTTTCACTGAAATGTCTGCCCAATTTGTGTATCGAAGTCAACAGCTGATTCAAGTAAAAATTGATATGACCTAATCAACGGCCCCCCCAAAAACTATATACTATAACCGTCTATAAAGATGATGAAATCAAGCCCATCGCGACGTCATCAACTGGTACACGAGGCATTATAGTGATGCCTCTATAAAGCACTTTAATTACACCGCGTTGATTTTGTTATGTGGCCGCAAAACTCGATGAAGTTACGTTCGATTCAACATTACCTATTTAAAAAGCAACGTAAAATCCGTCCTTGTTTTCCTTTTCTTTTCCAGGCGTTAATCCTATGGTCTCTGATAATCTAGCGGGAGAGAGGCTGCTCTGTATTTGTAGCTGCCCTGGTTTCTCCGCCTACCGGGGGACGACCCAATAATCTCTCTCTCTCTCTCTCTCTCTCTCTCTCTCTCTCTCTCTCTCTCTCTCTCTCTCTCTCACAGAAACACAGGCATTATCCCATGCTCCTAGAATTAATTGTAATACCATGCCTCCAACATAAAACCCCTTATTTGGACCACGTTTCTGTCAAATGTGCCTGTTTTGTTCTATGAAAAACCCACTTCCATGTATTCTTTACACGGTTTCAGCCTTCGTCCCAGTTTGCAGGTGAAACAGCGCAGAACGTTTCTGTTTGTCTCTTTGTATGTTTTCATTTTAGGCTGAAGTACCATTGTCCTCAGACTATAAGTAGGGGCTAATGGAGATGACATGGAGGTGTGTGTTAATGTGGAAAGTCATTATGCTGCAAAGTACTGACAGACAACATATGTTTATGATTCAGTTTGGTTATGCAAACGTTTCCTGAAGATAATATAATCAGTTGCATAAGCCATGCTGAGGACCGACTGATTAATGGGTTGATTACTGCATGAGGCTCATTCTGAGGCCTTTCTTCTTTTGAATAGTGGAGAGTGCCACTCTGTTCTTCAATCTAATACACCCCCTTCTACTTCTTACCCATTCCCTCCTTCAGTTTTAACACACAGACTTCATCTGCTCACTCACTGAGTAATCTACTCAGTCTGATATGATCATGCTCTCACTATTGTGCTAACCAATACGACAATAAAGTAAAAATCCCGTCTAGACTGAATAGGATTTGCATGGCCTTCCAATTTTTTACGTCTTTATAAGTGAACTATATATTTAGACAAAATATTTGCATTGGATGATTAGCATTAGAAGCGATTGATTTTGAGTATTTGATGGAAATCAGGTTGTTGTTGACATTGCTGATGGTTTCATTTTGTTTTGTTTCCGTCAGTGTTTTGTGCTCTCAGGCCTTTCCCAGCTGTCGCTGACCTTCATAAAGTTACAGCAGACTTCCAGGAGAAGCATCCACAGATCCTCTATGTCATGTACATAAAGCTCCGCGGTATGTTCCAGGCCATTTTTGTACAGGTTACAGTATGCACTGCAGTTGATATTTTGTTTATCTCAGTAAGCAACCTGAGAGCCAATCAAAATGCCAAAATGGCACATGGTTATGAGAAAGAAACATAAGCCTTGTGTTGATAATGCTCATATTCCGGTGAGGTCCATCTGTTGTAAATATTGAGAGGGTCATATTTTCAAACTCTTGTGAGTAAACATCTTCATGTGACGGGTACCTTCAGGAGCACGCTCCACCACTTTGCTCTCATGTAACTGTATGTTTGCATTGCGTGTGCTTGTTTTGTGCACCTCTGTGTTTGTGTTCAGTCTCCATCCTATTGTCTTGAAGGGCTTTGTATGAAATTATCTTGTATGACAAAAAAACTTACAAACAAAATTCACAGAAAACCACATTTTCACAGTTTATTTTTCTTGTTATTTGACGCAATTTATTTGTTTTGTAAGAATATGTAATTCTTGGCTAATAAATAAATAAATATGTATTGTATATATTCTGGTCTGTGGACAGTTGTCCCTGCAGTTAGTTCCACCTGCAAATCAAAGGATATTCGAATGACCTATTATTAGTTTTAACAGGAATAATGCTACTGAGAGCGTGCAGGTTAATTCTCAAACCCCCCTGCTACCATGCAGACTGTAGTGCAGACTGTTCAATATAAACACATTCACAACACCATCTTTCTAAATGCAGGCCTTTCTATATTTGGGCCTGGGATAAAATCTTATTCAGCGTGGGTTTATGTGCTGCTGTGTGTCTCTTTATGGACCTGTGACATTTAAACCTGTCATAACCGGCTGTCATAACCCTCCATTTAACCTCATTTATTGTAACAACATGATGCCACTCGCAGTTCCTCCAAAATTGGGTCCAAAACATGTGTGTGGACACTCTATCTTATATTATATTGTAGCTCTCTCCTCAAACACACTCAATCACACACCATCTGTTTCTGTTTTTAGCTCGGCCTGTATGAGCATGTGTGTTTGGCAAAGTGAGGTAGTAATAGAGATGTTGACTGCAGGCTGATGTGAACACGCTGTGCTGTTGATCCAGGGAGGATGGTGGAGGAAAGAACAGTCAAGGGACACTCTGTTTCTATGTCATTCATCATCCCTTCTCCTTTTCCCTCGAACTTATCTGCTTTCATAGACTAAAGACCATTAATGAAGCAATGTTTGGATTGACATTCATGTTAAAGAGTTGGAGATTTGAGGGAAAAAATACAAGGAAAGAGGAAGAGACAGAGCAGTGACTCAGGAAACAAGAGTCAGGAGCAGGGGCCAGGAAATGAGGAGGGACCAGAAGAAAGAAGAGAAAGGACAGACAGAGAGCGAGGCCGGGGCAAGGATGTGAAAACATGTTTGTGAGTTGCGGGTGTTACAAAACTCTGAACAAAATTTGGGACAACATGGCCATGATTATTTAAGGAAACAGGACACTAAGCTATGGCAAAACCTTCCCCAAGTCTTTTCCCACATGTTGTCCGAGTCTTGTTGAGTCTTCACATCTCTTACAAAGTTTTACAAGTTGTTAACTATCAGCCACCAACGATGGAGTGGACACTGATGAAATAATTCACTCCAAGACTTGTTCTACTGCAAAGCCAGTGTGCTTTGTTTGTGCATTTGGCAGTAGAGGAGGGGACAGTATCCCTAAATCCATCAGCAAGCATGAACAAACAGACATGAAAAGGAGAGAGAGAGAGAGAGAGAGAGAGAGAGAGAGAGAGGGGACAGGAGGGCATATTCTGCATAGTTTGGCAGGCAGCAGGGGATTACTGTGCATTACACCACACTGGTGGTTCAGGGTCGCAGTTTCAAAAAGACACAACAGCTTATTGCAGATATGAGTTACATTTATTTATTTTGTTGTATATGGTTTTACACAAGCAGATTGAATAAGTAAGTCATTATTTTATAGTATTAAAAGTGGAATTTGACCAAATTCTTAACACAAACGTGGCTTGACACACAGTTTTAGATTACACTTCAAATGCAGGCCTGTGGAATGTTAACTGAGACAAACACAACAATGTCGTGGGGATTAGCAATCGAAAATATGAGTAGTGAACTATATACTCTAAAATCCCTAAGAGTTCAACTTTTAGTGTGGCCTGCTGGCCCCTGTTTTGATCTGGAACAAATGTACTGTCTGCAGTGCTGGAGGGACACACACACACACACACACACATGGATACACACACAGGGCTTCACTATAAATCCCTGTCTGATCCCTCTGAGAGAGTTTATTTTGCAAGACAGCGTGAGCTTGAAAAAAAAAAGCAGACCTGGACCAGTTTCGACCAGTTAGGCTGAGGTCTTGTGCTTTCATCTCATTGTCTCGGGCTCACAGCAACGTTCAGTCCAAAACAGTTCAAGATAAATCTATAGATCAAAGTTGCACTGATATCTAGTGAATCATTTACAGAGACAGTTGCTGGTTGAAACACACTCAGTCATGTTGGGTGTACTTCACAGGGACTTTGCCATGTTGTGTAATGACATTGCTGTAGTGTTTTATTCCACTGATATCATTGTACAGCACATTAAAACAATCCTACACACACCATGCCTTGCTTGTAAAATTGTAATAACTTTTCTACCTCTAATCTCTCCGTTTGTTCTTCCTCTCTGTAATATATTCCCTCCTGTTCCTTTTTTCCTTCTTTGTTCCCCATGTGTGGCCTAGTTTTCTCCCACAGACAAAGGGGAGACTGTTCAATGTGGAAAGCCTCCCTCTCTTACACTCTGCTTGCGTGAATGGAGAGCTGATAGAGCAGACACTAATTAGTTCATCACATTCGTACATTCACCGCAGACATATGTCAAAAATATATAAAGGAGTAATTCAGCAAGTTTCATGACAAATTAAAGAATATTTCTGAAAATTGCACCCTGATATTTAGCCTTATATCAGCATATTGTAATGATCTCTCTCTGCATTTCACATCTCCCTCTCTCTCCCAGTATATGACATATACATCTTCTCATTCACAAACTCTTCCCTGTCCTTCACACTGGCCTGCTCTGTTACCGCAGGTTCTCTCTGACTCTCCCCCCTACCACCGCCTCTTTCAGCCAGGAAACAATGGGCGCACGTTATGTAAGAACGCACCTCTACGTGAGAAGAATAGCGAGAGATGAAATGCTCGTTCTGTCCTCTGACGCATATGAGCAGAGTGGCGCAGCGGAAGCGTGCTGGGCCCATAACCCAGAGGTCGATGGATCGAAACCATCCTCTGCTATTTTGACAATATTACCGCGCCAAAGCTACAATGCTATATACTATTATTTATATACCCCTATATCGCTCATTTAACGTTAACTCAACGCCTATCCACCTCTTTGTGTCATGGTACAGAAATATTGGTCAAGATATATTGGAAGTCCTGTGTTCAGAATGTTCTTTACAGTAAGTAAAATGATTTACCACTTCAGAATATAATTGCAATATAATCATTTCATTGCTTCAATGTTTAATTGAATTACTTTATGTACAGCTGGGAGGAGCTTGTGAATTCCTCGTGTCCTTTGATGAAACAATTTAGTATTATTAATCTGAATCTGCAAAGTAACCTAAATGATCAAAAACATGTTGTGTAAAAAGAACAATATTTACACTTGAAATGTAGGGGAGTAAATATATACAGTATTGTACAAGTACCTCAATATTGTACTTCAGTACACTTCTTTAGTAAGAGTACTTCCACCACTGGTAAATAAAAGCTGTAGTCTGAACACACAAGAAGCGGATTTGCATCCGTAACTGAGCTTGTCAGTTTTTCGCCTGTAAAAGCCAAACCAGCCGTTCAGGTTATCTCAAATCAAACATTTACCTCATTTGTGTGTGCTACACGTATTCCGTTCAATTTAACAGGCAATCACCGGAAAAGAAAGCAGCATCAGTGACCTTTGAGCTCCAGCTGTTGGGT